AATGAAGACCATCCACCCCAGGAAGTCACCGTTCCATCACCGCCAAAGGAGCAGCAGCCAACCGTCACCAACCAGCCAGCTACTTCAACACTAACCCCGCAAGTTCAACGTCAACCGGATCAGCCCACCACTACACCATCAGACCCATCACCAGCCGTCACTCCAGAGGCAACTACAGAAGCTCACCATCATCCGATGCAGCAGCAACCTACAGCTACAAGACTCCAAGTACCTACATCAGCACCACCTACGACTCTTCCTATCAACAAGCCAGCCGTCACCACCACACCTCGTTCCACCCGTTCATCACTTCAGGTTCCAACGTCAAGCCAGCTCATAGCACGAGGATCTCTTCAGCGAGTCACCACAAATACCAGCTCCAACAGCCCACTTCTTCATCCAAGGCCCTTCTCAACTTCACCCCCACGTCCCGGAATCGGCCGTCATCAACTACCGTCATCTTCGACACCGAGAACCAACACCAATCAGACCCAAACATCTCCAACTTTCGACAACGCAGCGTCATCATCAATCCCCAAGCTTCTAGTCTCAAGATCCCCACCACGAGCATCTTCACAACCAACTATGCCGACGAACGCTTCAGCTTCACCGCCACTAGTCACCACACCTATTCTTCAAGTCGACACCAATAATCGAGAGAGTTTCACGCCGAGAGAACATCATGCAGCCGTGCCGCCGTCGCAGCCGTTGTCGCAGCCGTTGTCTCAGCCGCAAATGACCGTACCAACACATCCAAACACTGTGAGACCGAACCCTACCACTGATGTGTCTCAGCCAAGTGAGGAGTATGGTAAAGGTAAACGAGTCCGCAAGGTAAAAAAGCCCTTCACATTCATGGTCGACATGTCATCAAGGTGCACATGTGAGGAGAGCGAGAATTGCATTCACAAGAAGGTAGAAGCAATATGCGTGGCAGCCTCACACCTTCCACGAGAGCCATTGAGTCGTCGTGAGGCAATGACAAGTCCTGAGAGAGAGCATTGGTTGAAGGCCGAGGAAGAAGAGATTGAGAATCTCATGAAGCGAGGTACATGGCGTCTTGTTGAGCCACCTCCAGGGAAGAAGGTCATTGGTGTCAAATGGGTGTACAAGATTAAGGTAAAAGGTGATGTTAGCCTTGATAGGTACAAGGCAAGGTTAGTGGCAAAAGGTTACTCCCAAATTCCAGGTCTTGACTTCACCGAAACCTTTGCCGCGGTAGCCAAGTACACCACGGTACGAGTTCTCCTCGCCATAGCCGCATATCTTGGTCTCCATATCCATCAAATGGATGTCAAGAACGCATTTCTCTACGGTGTCTTGGAAGAAGAGGTATACATGGCACAACCCGAAGGTTATGATGATGGTACGGGTCGAGTTTGTCGCTTGGTAAAGTCACTTTATGGTCTCAAACAGTCCCCACGGATATGGTATCATGCTCTTGAGAAGGTACTCTTCAAGCACGGTTTCACAAGGTCCATGAGAGACAACGCGTTGTACTTCATGCACACGAGTGAGGGGGAGTACATTTGGCTCTTGGTATATGTCGATGACCTCCTCCTAGTCTCAGGTTCTCTTGATCTCCTCAACAAGGTGAAAGGTATTCTCATGAGTGCATTCACAATGACCGATCTTGGTGAGCCGAGTCATTATCTTGGTATGAACATTGTGAGAGATCATAATTCACGGTCCATCTTCCTATTTCAGCAAAGGTATATCCAAAAGGTCCTTGAGAGGTTTGGTCTTGATGATAGCAAGCCATCACCTACCCCGCTTCTTTCCAACTTTGTCCCTTTGTCTTCGCATCAGCTGTATGAGGAGAGAGAGTTAAACCTTGACATCACGGGTATTGAGCAGTTGCGTCTTGAGGAGAGTGAGCATCATGGTGAGAATTCACCCAAGGTATCTCCACAAGATCTAGCACTCTACCAAAGTCAGGTTGGGTGTCTGATGTATGCAGCCCTATGTACAAGGCCTGACTTAGCTTTCACGGTATCCAAGCTAGCTCAACACATGAGTGCCCCATCACCCATCCATATGCATGCAGCCAAGCGAGCTCTTAGGTATCTCAAAGGTACTTCTAATCTTGGTCTTCTCTTCCAAGCCAGCCCACATGCATGCTCCCTCCAAGGCTTCACCGATGCAGCTTGGGCGGGAGAATTGAGCACACGCAAGTCCACCGGCGGCTACATCTTCCTCATGTGCGGTGCCGCTGTTTCTTGGCAATCACGCAAGCAAAGTTGTGTGGCGCTTTCTACTACCGAAGCTGAGTACATGGCAATGACCGAAGGAGCAAGGGAGGCAATCTGGTTACGTGGACTCATGGAGGACTTGAGGCAGCCGCAAACTCAACCGACTCCGCTCTACGTGGACAACACTTCAGCCATCGCCCTATCCAAGAACCCGGTTCATCATGGCCGTACAAAACACATCGAGGTGCAGTACCATTTCATCCGTGAGCAAATAGAAAAGGGAGTTCTCGCCGTCAACTTTTGCCGTTCATTCGATCAAGCAGCAGATTTCATGACCAAGGTTCTTCCACATGATGCATTCAACATGTGCAAGGCAAGAGCAGGCCTCATGACACTTCATGAAGCAGTGGAGCAGTTTGAGGAGAATGAGGAGTGTGAGGAGAAGAGACGTGGGCAGCAGCATGAAGTGTATGCTAAGGAGATGTGAGAGGAGCATCAGCATGGGTGTATGTGTGCTTCGGGTCCGGTGCGAGGGGGAGTGTTGGAGAATCGAGTTTCTGCCGCCCCAGCCCTTTGCACACAAGCAGCAGCAAGGGGGAATGTCGGCGATGAATCAGAGGCTTCGAGAAGTACTTCGAAAGTTCCGCCACCAATCAGATTTCAGCCGAAGACTCGATACAGTTCAAAGCTGCCTTCAAACCGAAGTGTTGGCAGTTTCTACAGGTTTCTACACATCAGAATCAGCTATAACAGAAATATCCAGAGTTTTCTTATTCATGCACCTCATGTGGCACTCAAAGTCACTCAAGGTCCATCCAATCTATATTGTGCCCAAGTTACCAGGGAAGTTACATTGTCTATCAGCCTAGTTTGTGCTTTCAATCTGTCTTGTTTGTGATGCCTATAGAGTTGTGCTTTAGTGGGCTTGTTAATCTTGAACATAGTGAAGTTTTACCTCATCCAGTCAATTCCAGTAGCCCTGCTAAGACTTTCCAGCTAAGACTTTCCAGCCAAGTTTCCAGCCATCCAGTATTCACAGCTACTCTGTTTTACAAGTGTAGCACCTTTGGTGAGGTCTCTACTGTTTGCGAACCGATATTTCCTAGCGCAGGTGTATTCTCGAAGTTTCGACACAAACACGTTCCCCACTAAAAAATGGAAAACCGCCTCGAGCACAGAACAATAACAGCAACGCTTCCAGCACACCCTGGGGATTCTCGTATGCGAAGTGGCTTGCGAAGAGATATTTTCGATTCTCCGTGCAAACATTCGCGACGACGTTTTCCCTTCAAGCTAAACCATTCTCCCTAGGGAGCTTCATGTTCAAGATTCCAAGTTTCAAGACCCACAAAATATACATGCTGGCGATAGCTTGGGTGGGAGATTCTTTGCTCACCAACTTGGTTAGCGTCAGTGATAAGCCATACAACTGATCCGTGGCTATCTAAACGTCATTGACACGCTTTCTTTGTTATGGCTGGCGTATTATCCTCTTCATAGAATCGCAGCTCTTGCTAGAATGCCAGTGTTTCCACCATTCCATTCTTAAAGTTCACGATTCGCAGCCTCAATATCCCGTCGTCGGTCATTGTTGCCACGCCATACGAGAAATCAGCAAGGATTGACGTCCGTGTCAGATTTCGCTGACTAATTTCGCATCAACCCTCAACATTTCAGTTGCTCTCCCGTTAGCCGTTCCTTTATTGTTCCCATCACGGAGGTAATAATCGAGTATATCTTATTCCTTCATTCTTGGAGTCAATCAAGATGATGGGAGACGACGATGAATGGGGTCCTGATCTAATGGCAGAGGCATTGGAACTCCTGACGAAGGCAGAGTCCGAGAAGGCTGCGAAAGATGGTAACCAGCTGCTTCGTCAGCACCAACCGCAGCAGCCATGGAATCAGCATCTACGACAGCAGCAACCAGATCCGCATTCACACCAACAGCAACACCGTTTTAATCAACAGCAGCCGCAATTGAATCAGAATATACAACAGCAGCAACAGCATCGTGTTTTACCTCTCCAGCAACATCAAAATCAAGGGAATACACTACAGCAACTGTCCTACCAGGCGCAGCCATATCAGCAGCAACAGCACCATACAGCTCCGTCCTATCATCAGGACCAAAAGCAGCAGCAACTCCCGCAATTTCACCAGCAGCAGCAGGACCAGCAACAGCCACCACTGATGCAACAGGATCCGTTTTTTGGAAACCGCAACCAAGAATTCCGCGTTCATCCCCCTCTTCAGAATGGCACTGCATGGCCTAAACACGAGACTCCTCACAAGATCGACCAAGGACCTGCTGTTTCTAATGCCGTGGCAGCTGCACATTCCCTCCACGGCCATCATCCGAGCCTCTCTTTCGGAGCTGCACCTTCCATGCCTGCGTCACTGGCTCGGACCAACTCTCCAGCTCCCCCTCCAGCTATATACGGGCGAGCGAAGGGCGATCGCAGGTTTGGTGCCCTCTTCCCGGCACCCGGCTTCGCAGCATCTCCCATCGCCCCTCCTCCACCCACCATCTCAGCCGCTCTCCCTGCCCCGCCAACGCCTCCTTCTCCCCTTCCTGCCTCCGCGTTCCCTCCCGCTGCTTCTCCTGCTTCTGCTGGTGCTCCTGCTGCTGCCGGTGCCCCTGCTGCTGCCAGTGCTTCTGCTCCCAGACATACCGATTCAGTTGGCTTACAACGGAGGAGTATACAGGAGCTTGGGGACAGCAGCCATGGCGGATGGGAACCGGAGAATAGAAAGACCTCAGCTGGCAAACGTCAGAAGCAGTCATTGAATGAACAGTTTCCGGGCATGGATGAACAGTACCAAGGCATGGATAATGAACAGTGCAAAGCCGGAGATGACTGCAAAGAAAGGAGCCATGGGGAGGATGGTGGGGCAGTGGAGGCGGATTGGACCTTAAGGGAGAGGCTGAGGGAGAAGGAAGCAGCGATGGAGGATCTGCTAGCGAAACTGCAAGAGGTGAGCGATGGTGGCAGCATTGCTAGCATAACGGCTAGCTGCTAGAACTCTGTAGGAGAGAGAGGTTAGAAGGAACAGGCAGCAGCAGCAGCAGCAGCCGCAGCAGAGGCGGCAACACCACCAACAGCAGTAGCAACGCCGGCAGCCACAGTTGGTGGTGAGCAGGAGGGGCGAGCAGGTACTATTGCTGTTGCCGGCGTTGCTGCTGCTGGTGGTGGTGTTGCCGTCACTGCTGTGCGGCTGTGCTTTAGGTCGGGTGTGCTCTGATGCCATGTTGCTTGCACCCACAATTTGCTTGCATCTTGCATTCACAATTTCTGTTCACTATTCGCCGTTCAATTTACGCAGGCAGAGAAGCAGTTGATGTGCCTTCGCCAGCGAGATTCGCGTCCTGCTGCCGCTACTCCAGGCCAAGACAAGCCCCAGGTTTGTCGTGTCTTGGTAACACCATTTTTTGCTCTGCCATGCGTATTTGCCATGTCCAGTTGAATACAGAAGAATGATACTGAGTTGTGTCCTCGATGGCATATCCTTTTTGCTTTGGTATTATGGTTGCGTGTGTTTGCCATTTTCAGATGGACACTAAAGACCTTGAGATCGAGCGTCTTACAGCTGAGCTTCTGTTCAAAGTACGATGCTCAACCCTTATTCTGCTTTTGTGCGGTTCCCCAAATTCTAAACCTGAACCTCTACTTTCAAACCCTTTTTTTCATCCTGAGACAAGTATGATAGCCGATGTTGTCGCCTCTCTTCCTTCGTTTGTTACGTGCATGGATACCTGGAGGAAGAGGAGATGGAGCAAGCTCAGAAGCAAATGTTAGCGATTGATGTAAAGGAATTTTCTGTTTTCTCTTTGTGTTCCTTTTGCGGATACGTTCAGGAAGAGGAAATGGAGCAGGTTCGGAAGCAGCAAGAGAAGGAGGAGCAAAGGCGACAGGCAGCAGAGGCAGAGGCAATGGAGTTGAAGGAGAAAATGGCACGGGCTGGGATAGAGAGGTGAGACTGTTTTTGAGACAGCAAGAGCAGGATGAGCGGAGGTAGGGAAGGTAGCAGAGGCTGAAGCGAGGAAGTTCAAGGAGAAAATGGCAAGGGCTGGGATAGAGAGGTGAGATGAAAACGACTAAGGGTTGGAGAAGAGGAGCAGATGTCGGTGCTGGAGATGAGGAGCTGGATTCATCATTGTTGCTGCTTTGAGCTTCTTTGACGCGCTTTTCCATGCACCATCCATGCGCTGTTCATTCGACAGCAGAGCAGAGGAAATTCGCTCACTCCTCTTGTCTTCTGCTGTGCTCCATTCCTTTGCCCATGCCTTCCATTCGCCTCATCCCTTCCATCCGGCCTGTGCCTTCCACCTCCAGAGAACCACGTGTGCAGGAAGATCGACTGGAGATTTCTGAGCAAGCGACAGGGAAGCGTGCAGAGGATGCAACAGGCAGTGCAGGGAAGGCGCCACAGCTTGCTGCTGTTGCTGGCGCTGCTGCTGTTGCTGGTGTTGGTGTTGGTGTTGGTGTTGGTGTTGGTGTTGGCGCTGCTGCTGCTGCCGGCTCTGGTGCAGGTGTTGCTGCTGGTGCTGCTGCTGGTGCTTTTACTGGTGCCATGGCTGGTGCTGCGTCACCAACCTCTGGAGCCGGTGCTGCTTTATCCTCGGACCGTGACATGGCTTCTTTGCACAGTGCCCTGCAAAGAGTGTGGAACGGCCCAATGTTCCCCCCATCTTCTACCTCACACTTAACTAAGTGGGACGGGTTGCTTTCAAGGAGGCAGGAGGAGCAGAGGCAGGAGAGGAGGAAGGATGGTAAGAGGCACGGGAGTGCCAGGCCCCAAGCGGATAATGACGTTGCGGCCATGGAGGTTGACAGGGATGAGGCATCCGCTGACTCAGCGCAGGGCCGCGGTGACTCAGCATGCAGATTCGACGAGTCAAGATCCATGATGCGTGACTCAGCAGAGCACAGCCGGTTTGTGGCATCACAGCTGATAGCCCACTGTGCTCGAGAATTCCTATCCCTCGTTGCGTCTCCCACTGCCTCTCACATCCCTCCCGCCCTGGATACAACACCTCTATCCACTCAATTCACCAACGCTCTCATAGCAAGGCCCACTCCTCTGGTGCACAGGCACCTTGCCTCAGGCCCAAGGTGGGAAGAATCGAGTGTCGAAAGAAACACAGACCCGCTACAAGTGCTGCACCGTCGCACCTCCACACACGCACAGCCGCACAGTCTAGGCACATCGCATGTTCTTCTTTCTGCAGATGCAGCAAGGGGATCAGCGGTTGTGCTGGGACTGAGAGGTGGAGAGGAGGAGGTGAAGACTGGGGGAGTGGGTGGGGATGTCGTTTTAACGAATGTGCAGCGGCAACTGCAGAGTGGCTTCTCAAATGTAAGTGGCGACGATCAGTTTGCACTCAAAATATTTCTCTTTCTCTTTTAGGCGGCTCAAAGTCCTTCAAAAAAAAAATCATATTTTTTCCAGGCTCCTCAAAAGTCCATCAAAACCCACTTGGTTTCCAATTCTTTGTTTTTTTTTTTCACAAGATTCCGCATCATTTGAATGCTTGACTAAGTCATTTTGGTGAACGCTCATGCAGATTCTTCTCAATCCTCTCCTCTCATCCCCCCAGCTAAACTTTTCCACCTTTTCCGCTTTCCTTCTCATCCCCAGCTTTTGTATTCCTCTCTCACTCTCCCTCACTCACTCTTACGCTGTCATCCTTTGCCTATCCCCAACTCGTTTTCTGACTTCACAATCACACCAGCTTCTGATTGGCATCGACTCGCCCCACCACTTCTTCTCCACGTTGTTGGATTTCGCCTGCTCTCATGCACCTGTAACCCAGGTACGCCTGGTCACGACTTAGTGCTAGCTGGGGGGTGTCTTAATTCATTGCACACAGGCGTCCAAGTCCTGTGCCTGCCTTCGTTCTTCACAACCCTCGTTTTTTGGTTTTCTGCTCCTCTCTCTCCCGCCCACTCGCCTGTAAGCATGCCAAGCCCTCTCCCTTTCAACTTTTAGCATTTTGGAATTTACTAGATTCTCATTCTTCACCTTCCTCCTCTGTTGTTCTTCCCTCGCTCACGTTTCAGCCATCTCGCCTGCAAGCGTGGCAAGCCCTCTCTGTTCTGCTTCGTGTGGATCACACCTGCCGTTCGCTGCTGCTCTCTGCTGCCTCCTCTGCTGCTGCAACCGCTGCTGCTGTGCGTGCTGCTTCTCCTACTACTGGCACTGCCCCTAGCACTGCTACTGCTCCTTCTACTGCTACCGCAGCTGCTGCTGTTTCTGCTGCTGCTTCCCCACCTGCTGCTGCAGCCGATGCAGCCATTGGAGCTGCTGCTGCTGCTCAGGGGGAAGCAGGAGGCTTGAGAAGGAGCACGAGGAGAAGGAGAGGAGGGAAGGAAGGAAAACCTCTCGAAGATGCTGAAATGGCTGAAGCTACTACAAATGGTGATGGGAATGATGGGGGTGATGGGGTTGGTGCTGGTGGTGGGGATGGTGGGGGCGGTGTTGGAGGTCACGCTGATGCGGGGCAGACAAGAGAAGGCATGCACACAAGCAGAGAAGAGAAAGCAGACCAGGCAAGCACAGTAGATCTGGCAGAGCAGGCACAAGAGCAGCAGCAGGAAGGAGTGGAGTGCGGAAAGAGAAGGCCAGCAGAAGGTGAAGGCAAGGAGACGGAAAAGCGTGAGCAGGGATGGGGGGCAAGGGAGTGGGGCCTTGTATTAGCTTCTGCGTTTCCTCCATTTGTGACTGCTTTCTCCTCTGGTTTCTCCCTGGGAAACTTGGAATCAAAACCACCAGCAGCAGCACCAGCAGAAGTGGCAGGTGCCGCACCCACAGCAGCTCTGCTAGCAGCAGCACCAACAGTGGCACCGTCAGCAGCAGCAGCAGCAGCAGCGGCAGCAGCAGCAGCAGCAACAACTGCGGCAGCGGGAGGCATCATAGCTTCAGCACTAAAAGTCATTCAGATCCTAGTTGCCTCTAGCGCCCCACTCACAGACCGCCACATGTCCTTCTCCCATTTGCTGCCACGGCTCCTGTCACTGCTGGCAGCATGGCAAGCGGGCAGAGTGAAGGGTGACTATACTGAGAGGGTGAGGGTGGTTCAAGTGGGGATGAAACTGATCCTGCTGCTGCTCCTTCCGTTCCCATCGCAACTCCTGGATAAGCACATTATGCTACAGTCACCACCACTGCAACGACACGTCTCTCCACTGCTGGCTCCTCCCGTTACAGTCACAAATTCTGGGACTGTGAGTGATTATAAGCACACAGCAGTGATATCTGCTTCTTCTTCTGCTGGGCTGCTGTTAGACGTCCTGTGCTCCCTCTTACAGGCCACTGCTACACAAGCCCGCCGCATTCTCGAGTCGACTCAAAAGTCACAGGCCACAGCTATGCAAGGCCACCGCATGACTCATGCATATAGCATGCAGACTCGAGCAGTGGCAGGGGGATTGAACCGTCGTGAAGCTTCTTGTAAAGGGGACATCGGGGGGGTTCTGACGAGAGGGCTCGAGGATCCTTGTGGGGAGGAGAGGAAGGGTTTGAGGCGTTTCAAAAGGGTTGATACGTCTCAAAGGGAGGTGGGGGAAGGGCACTGGAGTGCGTGTGGTGTGATAGAAGTGCTGGGGCTGCTGTGTGGTTGGGCTGTTGGGAAAGGGACGGAGGAGGAGAGTGGTTTGAGTGGAGAGGGGAGGAGTGGAAGTAGAGGGAGTGAGTGTGGGAGGAAGGAGGGCGAGGAGGAGCAGGGAGAGCGGCAGAGGGTAAACCACAAAGAGCAGAGTTTGATGCTGGAGCAGGGGAATGGAATTGTGCAGGATACAGCAGGAAGGGTGAGAGCAGGAGGAGGGGTACCAGCAGGAGCTCAGGTGGAAGGGATGGATGTGGAGGGCAGAAGCGATGTTGCTGCTGCTGCAGGCACTGCCAATGCAACGGGTGTTGCCAATGCTACAGGTGCTGCCAATGCTACAGGAGCTTCGGGTGCTGCAGAAGCTGGGATGAGGAATGGGAGAGGCACTGGAGCGGTGGAGGGCGGTTGGGAGGTGATGGCCCTCGTTCTGCCTTGCCTGTTTGACGTTCTGGCGTCTGAAATTGGACGGATGAGAGAGGCGGTTGAGGGAGTGGGGGTGGATACAGCGGGGTTGGAAGGGGTGGGGGTGAACTCAGAGCACGTTCAGGTCGTTGGGGGCTTGGTTCAGTCACAGGCTCGGGTGGTTGCAGGCTTGGTTCGACTGCTCCGGGCACTGCTGGTGCAAGCTGCTTCGCTCCCTCTCCCTGCGTCTCCTTGCTCCTCCCCGCAACGCCAAAGTAATGGTGCTGCTAGTGCTAATGGCGAGGCTGCTGGCGGTGCTGATGCTGTTGGTGATAGTGCTGCGGGCACTGCTACTGCTGCTGGTGATAATGCTGTGGGGTGCACTGCTGCTGCTGTAGCAAGTGTTGAGGTGCCTGAAAAACAGGAAAAAAATCTAGGTGCGGTTGGAGGAGCACAGGCTCTGCTCCTGCACTGCTGCCAGCAGTGTGTCCTACTCAGCATCGCGCTCGCTGAGCTGGCGGATAAGGCTGCTGATGTTGGTCGGCGGGATGCTGACGTGTCAGCAAGCGGGTTTGATTCGCTGTCTGATGCTGATGTGGCGGGAAGTTGCTGCGATGGTGGTGATGACAATGACAAAGACAAAGTAGAGGAAGAGGAGGAGGATGCTTATGATGATGTTTTTGGATGGGAAGCTCCTTGGAAGGAGTGTGTGGGAAGCAGCATCATCACAGAGGCAGGAGAAATGGATGGTTTGCTGTCAGGGAGAGGGTGTGACAGCATGGGAGGGGGGTGGGGTGGTGTGTGTCATGCCTTGGCAGCAGCAGCTGAGATGCTGAGAGGAATCGTGGAGTGAAGGAGATGGTTTGTTTGAGTTCCAGGCAGCAAGGGTGGATGGTTCACTGATCACATTTTCTGAGCCCAAAGAATTGCTGGCAGCAGCAGCTGAGCTGAGTTGCTGAGTGGAAACGTGGAGTGAGCAGATGGTCAATTGCACTGGAAGTTGAAGCAACAGACATTTGTGGTACCGTAATTGGTCGTTTGAAGTCGTTGACAGTGCAGTGCAGACTTTTGTTGGATATGGCTGTTGCTGTTCTTCAACGGGTGTTCTAACACAACACCCATGGCATGGCGTACCTGACCATGGGTGTTAGAGCGTCACTTGACACGCTTGACCACAGAAAGCTTGCATGTACCGACGATTGCGGAATGGGCTAACCCTATGAAGTTTTGGTGATCCAATTCGAAGAGATTATTGTGTGTTAAAAGGTTGTTCATAGCTAGGGTTTTCTTCTCTGCTTCAATGTTGCGAGGAACTCCACGTCACCCATTACATCACCAATGGCAATGCTGCCCTGCCAGTGTCACACCCCGGATAGTAGTGTTGGAAACATTTAGTTTACGCTTCTGAAGTACCGAGCACTAAAACAAAACGAGAAGTATACTCGCAGCGAAGCAACACCGAGTCAACCAAAGCGGTTGACTAGGCGACAGCAGCAGGAGGTTGAAGCGAAGGTCAAAGGTCAGCGACCTTGGACTTGACAAAGGCAGCGCGACAGCAACGACAAATAACTGACTCGTTATTGAGCAGTTACCCGAGTCGTCGCTGTATCGAACCGCAACAGCAGTTACAGTTAAACCCTTCCTATTCCTTGTAATCATTTATATATATCCTTATATCTCTTTGCTTTAATTAATTCATCTTGTTCTCACATACTAGTACAAGGTGGTTCACTCAATCCACTATTACGCTTCCGCTAAATAGATCACTACTCCGAGAGTTTAGTCTTGAACGATCCTGAGGACTTTTTCAGCCCAACATGGTATGAGATGTCAAACTTATATGCTATAGTCTATCTAAGGTGTAGTGGGGTAGTTCATATAGGGTACAACACTTTTAGGTTTCCTACTTGTACCCACCTGCTTCCTAGTTCATCCATTCCGTTCCTTATTCTAACATGGTATTCTGAGCAGGTTCCCTCGTGGGAACGTTTTTTTTTAGGGCCCACCAAAAACTTTTTTTTTCCTGCCCTGCCCGAAGCGCGCTTTGCGCCTGCCTCACCCTGCCGTTGCGGCCCCTACTGCTGTCGCGGCCCCTGCTGCCGTCGCGGCCCCTACTGCCGTCGTGGCCCCTACTGCCGACGCGGCCTTTGCTGCCGTCGCGGCCCTTACTGCCGTCACGGCCCCTACTGCCGTCGCGGCCCCCTGCTGCCGTAGCGGCCCCCTACTGCCGTCGCGGCCCCCTGCTGCCGTCGCGGCCCTTGCTGCCGTCACGGCCCCTACTGCCGTCGCGGCCCCCTGCTGCCGTCGCGGCCCCCTGCTGCCGTCGCGGCCCCCTGCTGCCGTCGCGGCCCTTGCTGCCGTCGCGGCCACTGCTGCAGTCGCGGCCCCCTGCTGCTGACACGGCCTCTGCTGCCGTCGCGGCCCTTGCTGCCGTCGCGGCCCCCACTGCCGACGCGGCCCCTGCTGCCGTCGCGGCTCCTACTGTGGTCGCGGCCCCTGCTGCCGTCGCGGCCCCCTACTACTGTCGCGGCCCCTGCTTCCGTCGCGGCCCCTGCTGCCGTCGCGGCCCCTGCTGCCGTCGCGGCTCCTGCTGCCGTCGCGGCCCCTACTGCTGTCGCGGCCCCTGCCGTCGCGGCCCCTGCCGTCGCGCCCCGCCCCTGAGTCCACCGCCTGACCAGTCTCAGTCGCAGTTGCAGCCGGCCCCTCCCCTGCCTGGTCCTTCTCCTTACTCTGGTCCGACTAGAGGTCTTACGGATCGTCGTGAGCCTGAGTCGCGTCCTGTGTCGCCTGCGTCTCGTTCTGCGTCGCCTGTCCGCACTGTTCGCGCTGGTCGTGTTTCGCGTCCACGTCTTCCACCTATCCCAGGCACTCACTCTATGACACTGCGTCCTTCTACTGCTTCACAGCGTGTCCCTCTGCCCTCTCCTCCTGCGTCCTCTCTTCCTGACGGTCCGGACCCGGAGTCTGACTCCCTTCATGCTGCTAGTCCTACTGTCACGCGCTTTCTGGCCACTGTTGTCACTGACCCTCTGTTTGAGTCCTCTACTGCGTCTGCTCTTGTTGCTGAGCTTGTTGACTTTGCTGCAGCCTGTCGCCTAGATTACGCCACTAGTCTTGTTGCTGCGTCTGCGTCTGTCTGTCCTCCGTCCGTCGGGGGTGAGTGTGCTCTTGGCACGGACGTTCTTGAGGACAGACAGGAGGACCTTGAGTGCTTTGCCACTGCTTCACCTCATCTCGTGTCCATGCTGCTTGCCCCTGAGGGAGACCCGGATGCACTAGACATCCCGACCCCGCGCTCTTACGCAGAGGCGATTACGGGTCCCTACTCCTCTCAGTGGCAGGCAGCCATGGACGCAGAGATGGCATCCTGGAAGTCCACAGGCACCTACGTAGACGAGGTCCCCCTACCTGGGGCAAACATCGTCAGTGGCATGTGGATCTTCAGGGTGAAGCGGCCGCCGGGTTCTCCGCCTGCCTTCAAGGTGCGTTACGTTGCACGTGGCTTCAGTCAGCGACAGGGAGTTGACTTCTTTCAGACCTTCTCCCCTACCCCGAAGATGACCACTCTTCGGGTACTGCTGCACGTTGCTGCTCAGCGTGACTACGAGCTCCGCTCGCTTGACTTCAGCACAGCCTTCCTACAGGGCAGCCTGCACGAGGAGATCTGGCTGCGCCGCCCACCTGGCTTCACTGGGTCGTTTCCTGCTGGTACCCAGTGGAGCCTCCGGCGGCCAGTCTACGGTCTCCGCCAGGCGCCCCGTGAGTGGCACGACACGCTCAGGACGACTCTTGCTGCTCTTGGTTTTGCTCCTTCCACTGCTGACCCTTCTCTGTTTCTACGCACTGACGCTACTCTGCCGCCGTTCTACGTTCTTGTGTACGTAGACGACCTTGTCTTTGCTACTGCTGACACGGCGGCACTCGCCCACGTGAAGTCCGAGCTGCAGAAGAGACACACGTGCACAGACCTGGGTGAGCTCACAAGCTATCTTGGCTTGCGGATCACCCGGGACAGAGCACAGCGCACCATTACCTTGACTCAGTCACACATGGTGCAGCAGGTCCTTCAGCGCTTCGGCTTCACCTACTCCTCGCCACAGTCCACTCCTCTGCCTACCGGTCACTCGCTCTCAGCTCCACCTTCGGACGAGTCCGTAGAGCCGAGTGGCCCGTATCCAGAGCTTGTGGGCTGCCTCATGTACCTGATGACTTGCACACGACCTGACCTCGCATACCCTCTCAGCCTTCTGGCTCGCTACGTGGCTCCCGGCAGGCACCGAAAGGTGCACTGGGATGCTGCGAAGAGGGTGTTGCGATACTTGTGCAGTACATCGGGCATGGGGCTCGTGCTTGGAGGACGGGCTCGAGTTGTCCTCACTGGTCACGCTGACGCCTCCTGGGTTGACGACTTGGCTACGCAGCGGTCGTCACAGGGTTACACCTTCAGCCTTGGCTCCGGTTCTGTCTCCTCGCGGTCTACCCGCTCTTCTTCTGTTCTCAGCTCCAGTTGTGAGGCTGAGATCTACGCTGGGGCCATGGCTGCACAGGAGCTTCGCTGGCTCACCTACCTGCTGACCGACTTGGGAGAGGCGCCTCGTTCTCCTCCAGTTCTGTACGTCGACAACAAGGCCATGCTGGCCTTGTGTCAAGAGCACAGACTGGAGCACAGAACGAAGCACATTGCTCTGCGCTACTTCCTTGCTCGAGAGTTGCAGCAGCGTGGCCAGCTTCGTCTTGCTTACGTGGCCTCTCAGGCCAACACTGCTGATGTTTTCACCAAGGCACTTCAGCCTTGTGACCATCAGCGTTTCTGTACTGTGTTAGGCCTTGTACCTACTGTGCCTCACTTGTTTACTTCTTGACTCTGCTTGTACTGTACTCTATATACTTATACCTGCATGCTTACACTTGCTAGGTTGTGTTCACTGTACTGTTTGCTTTCCTTTATATAACTCTGCATGTGAACTGGCCTTATGGCCCTTTGCTTGTGCTCAGACTGCGTGGTGACTTTGTGATCCACCCTGAGCTTGCTTTGCTTTTCTTGACTGGTCTTGTGACCTCTTGTTCTCCCCCACTTTGCCTATGGGGGTGTGTCAAACTTATATCTGCTATGGTCTATTTAGGCTGTAGTGGGGTAGCTCTTAGAGGGTACAACACTTATGTGTTTCCTATTTGTACCCATCTCATTTTCTAGTTTATTCATTCTTTTTTCGTCTATCTTTCTCACACACACTACCCGTACCGTCAGCAGCTCTAGCACATCCAGTACCTCTAGCTCCAGCACCTCCAGTTGCACCTCCAGCATCTCCAGCACCAGCAGCACCACCAACTCCGGCAGCTCGAGCACCTCTAGTACCTCCAGTACCACCAGCTCCAGCACCTCCAGTACCTCCAGTACCACCAGCTCCAGTACCTCCAGCACCAGCAGCACCACCAGCTCCTGCAGCTCCAGCACCTCTAGTACGAGCACCTCTAGGACCATCAGCTCCAGCACCTCCAGTACCTCCAGTACCACCAACTCCAGCACCTCCAGTACCTCCAGTACCACCAGCTCCAGTACCTCCAACACCAGCTGTACTACCAGCTCCGGCAGCTCCAGCACCTCTAGTACGAGCACCTCCAGGTGCAGCAGCTCCAGCACCTCCAGGACCTCGAGGACCAGTAGCTCCAGCACCTCCAGTACCTCCAGTACCACCAGCTCCAGCACCAGCAGCTCTAGTAGTACCTCCAGCACCAGCAGCTCCAGCGTCTAGGTAACTACGTGCATGCACTCTTGTCTCCTTGTCTCTGGCCTCCCTAGGTCCCTGCCCCCGCTCTCGCACTCGCTTGCACCGCCGTGCCTTCCCTGTGTCG